TATCTTTCTTTTTTTATTTCTAATACACATTTAATAGTATTAGTATGTTACTTTTTTTTCTATATGTAATAGACTTAATCCATGATTTTATCGATCAATTTCTTTTGCTATAATATTTTATTATATAAAATCAAGTATCAACAGATATAAAGAAAATGAGACACCTATTTGTACTATGTGTTTCAAGTTGTTATGATAAATCCTAAATTATTTTATCTCATTCTGTATTTGTATTGATATTACTCATACATCAACTCAGTGTATTTCAATTCGATTTTGATTACGATCACCTATCATTCAATTAATAAAAGAAAGAATTTCAAATTTGACTATTGCAGATCTACATATAATCGAATAAATGACACAATAAAATTTTTAGATAATGCCTGTGCAATCACGTTCAATATTACCTTATCAATGTAATCAAGTAATTCATCCATGGCATGAAAATTGTATTGAAGCAACATGGTTACTTGGAAAATCATCATTTAGAGAATCATTTAAAATTTATTGTGTTCTATATGCAGTAAATATTATTTATTTTACAAAAAAAAAAAATTTTTTTCTTTATTTATTATTCAGGTTACAGGACTTATAAAATTAAGAAAAATTAAAACATTAAAACAATTACGTCAATTATTAATTGATTTAATTACTGAAACAATACAATCAACAATTTTTCTTGGTATACAAGGATTACTTATTTTACCTACTTGTTGTTCTGGCAGGTAAAAAATATTTGATATAAATTTATTTATGTATATATATATATATATAGAAAAATATTTGGTCATATAAGTTATTATAAAATGTATTTTCAAATAATATTTTGTACTTTACCTGCAATTTTAATTGAACGTAAACAACGGTAAATGATAAAAATATTATAAAATAATTTTAATTATTATTAATTTTTAGACGTGGTGCTTTAGCTCTTTACATGACTAATTTAGTAAGTTTTTTTTTGTCTTATTAATCTTTTATTATATTTTATGCAAAAAAATAATAGGCAGTTGAACTTTTATTTAAAATGGCTGTTGATCGAAAAATATTTTCACCACTTCATAATGGAGAAGTAAGATTTTTGTTATTTAATTATAGATTTTTTAATTTAAAATGTTTTGTTTTCTAGATACTTATTTTTGCTATAGCTTCAGCAATTTATACATTTATTCTTAAGTAGGTGAGCATTTTTAAAAAAACTATATATTTGAATGAATTATTTATTCTTTTTTTGTATTTATCTATTTATTTAGAACAACATCCGATCATAAACATAATACTTTAGTATTTTCTGTTATTAAGTATGTATAGATATTTATAATCATATTTAAATTGATTAAAAAAAAAGGAAAATAATTATGATTTCAAAAATTTCATTAGATTATTACCTATTGAAATTTATGTTAAGAATAATCAAAAGAAAAAGCAGAGTACAAAATTACTCTTCAAATGACTTAGAAATTGGTCATCGAATAGAATATTCTTTATTCAATAACAAAAACTCAACTTTCAATTTATTAGAATTCGACTCAGCTTAGAATAGCATTATATTTCTTTTTGACAGTTGTTAGTGTAATCCATCTGGGATTAATATACAAAAAATACAATGCAGTTGTTGTTACTAATCAGATAGAGATGATGTTATTCTATCTATTTTAGGACACTATACTTTTAAGAATGCAATAAGAAAGTATTTCTATATGTTATAACGAGACATTATTGATATACAGAATACGAGAAGTATATCAACAACATTTGTGACATATCCATGATTTTGTCTATCAGAAACGGAAGTCCAGATTTTTACTTCTATATAATGAATTTTAAATCGTTGACTATTTTTAGTTACACTATTTCACTTCAATAATACTCCAGACACTTAATCCTTTAAGTATCATGACTCAGCTAATGAATGAAATTTCTTTGAGAGTTTGTATTAAATATGGACAGTATGCATTGTTGATATTTTCATCAAAACTTTTTAAAAAAATCTTTAAAGTCATTTTCGATCATCCCCGTGGGGAGTACGGGTGTGGGTCGAAATTCGATTGAGAATTGTCGCTATATCAACCTTTGGAATATCACTACGAGCCACTCCTAACTTGGTTCCAACACGGAAAATCGAAATATTTTGCGGACCACAAAAAGACATGGTTCGCTCTCCTTATTTTTAGAATAGAAGTGGTATTCCAAAGATTCGTCAGACTTACTACCTGAGTGACCTCATTAGGGTGATAACTGTTATATAGATGTATGCACCGAAGTCTCTTCTATGTCATAGAGAAAACCTTAGATGCAAAATTTATTTAAGAAATTTCGACAAAAAAATCAGATTTCTTCACATAAGGAACCTTCCTTGCAGAAAGGAATTAAATTCAAATCCTTCTGAGTGTGATCCGATTAAACTCTAGTTTTTAGAGACATATATGTAGAGTGTGTACAAGTCACCGAATACGAAAAACACAAAAAAGTATTTCGTACCTTTCAGTTGATAATTCAATTTCAATTAAAGAATTTTTAAGAGTATATTTTACTATATTTTTTTCATTGTAAGGATAAGTCAACAAGAATATTTATTATAGAAAACAAGTCGAGACTTTTCGAACTTCCGTTTTGTACTTTGAATTTTGTTATTCAATTTATTGTTTTTTTATCTAACGATTATCAAATTTTATAGAGTAAAAAACATTGATGACTCTTTTGTCGTCATAAAAAAGGAAAAAAAAACAGAAAAGCATTATAAGTTACATACATAGATTTTGTATGATTTTCGCCGAATACATATATCAATAGTCATAAATCATTTTCTCTTTCTTTTTATTGTCTTAGGTCATTGATTGGTAAAGAAGAATGTGCACCATCATTATCAGTTGAATTAATATCTAAATCAAAAGAAAAATCAATATATTTTACATTATTTTATAAATATATAAAAATTATTAAACATTGGTCATTAATTCAAAATAAAAATCATCCAATATGTATTCATAAATATCATTGTTTGATACATATTCTTCTGGTTTGAAACAAAAAAGAAATTTTTGAATATATTGAAAAGGAAGATTAATTTTATTTATCTTTAGGGTTTTCTCAAACGTTTTCTAGTCGGTGTATTAATACAAATGATATTACATTTGACAACATCACCTATTCAATTTTTACAACATCCAATATTATTTTTTTCGACATTATATAAAAAAGGATTTAGTTTGGGAAAATTTCTTAGTTTTTATTCAGCAATTTATCGAGTAAAATTAATTTCTTTTGTTGTAAAAAAAATTTTTTTTTTTTGAATTCTTCTAGTTAATTAGTTGTTTATTACGTAATATATTAAAATATGATCGACCTGAACATGGTCTTATAGCTGGTTATTTAGCTGGATTTTCTATGATATTTTATAAAAGTTCAACATTAGCTATGTATATCATGGGAAAATTACTTGAAGTTAGTTTTTATAAAATCAGTATTTTTATTTTTTTTTGTTTTTTTGGTTATAGAGTATCTATTTTAAATGTGCTCATAATGGAAAAGTACCAATAATTCCATATTTTGATTCAATTTTATATGCTTTATCAACAGCACTTGTTCTTCATGCAGCTATTGTTGAACCACAAGCAATGCGTCCAGGTTATTATAAATTTCTTGAACGTTTAGCAGGTGGATATTTTTCACAAGTTAATCGACCTATGATGGATTGTTATGGTGTATGTTCATCGAAACTTTTTCCAAATTATAAATTACCATTAATGAAAAAATGACATTTTATTATTTACTTATGCTGTGCGTTTGTTTTTTTTTTGGTTTTTAAAAAAAAAAAAAAAAAAAAAGGAAAAAATAATGCATTTAATTTTTTTTTTTTTATTGAAGTAATTATAAATTTTCAAGGAATCGAACAAAATATCAAAAATCTATTATATCGAAATGTTTTTTTTTTTTTTTTATTATTGAGAATAATAATAGCTAAAAATAAACATCAATCATTAAAATCTTTTTTTTTTTTTATATTTTCATTATATAAAAGAAAACATGCATTTTTCTAAAGAACAATAAAAAATATATATATATATTAAGTATTGAAAAATCGATAGTTTTAGATTTATTCTTTTCCCAATACTTGTGTTTATTAATATTTGAACAGATAGATTCTATATTACACATCTATTCAAATTATTATCAGTACTCATAAAAGTTAACAGTATAACAGTAATAACTTATGAGTTAGAGAACAACTATCAGTATTCTGCAGTATGACGACAGTCGCAAGATAGCTGATTATTTACATATCAAATTATCATAGAGTTTTTTTGGTCCCTATCGAGACGGCACTGGTATAGGACATATTGTACCTAACGACCTACCGATAATTTTCATTTGATTTGAATTACATGAGATTTTTTCTCGATTGATTAAATTCTTTCTATTTTGTTAAAAGCCACATTTAATTCTATGTCTTAAAATCTTTAATAATCACATAAGATTCTTACGATAAAATTCAATTAATACGATTCTTTTTCTTTTTCCAAAATCAAGAAAAAAAAAACTAACTATTATCATATCAAATGAAATTTTTTGTTTAGTCAATGTATGATAAAACAAAAAAAAGATGTTGTGTCATCAAACTAGGTGCAAGAAAGAAGTAGATGATTCAATCTTAATATTTTCGAACTTAATTTTAGTACTTTATCAAAAGTTCATTTAAAAAAAAATTATGATCAAAGTTTTCTATCTTATATTACATACTTTTAGGTCATATGATAAAAGAAAAAGATAAGAATTTCTTTTTTTTTTTTGATTGAGTTACAAAACCATTTTATTCTTGCTCAATATGATCATAAACAAGTTGTTTTCATATCTTATGAAGAAAAATGATTACATTATACACTATATTAATAAAAAAAAAACGGAAATAAAAATTCTAACGAAAATATTTTCTTTTATTTCACATATTGCATATGCATCAATATCGATGCTTATGTACAAGAAGAAAAAAAAGAAATTTAATCATTTTGTTTATCAATTGTTTGATTAAATACATATTTAATAAGCCAATCGGCACATTTAACAACTGCTGTTTCAAGATATCGTTCAAATTCTTCATCTATAGGAATATTTTCTTCATCTTCTTCAGTTTCATATGTTTGAAGATCATTATTATTATTTATTTTTTCTATTGTATTATTATGTATTTGAATTTGTGAAGGTTTTTTTCTTAATATAGTTTTTTTTTGTTGTTCATTTAATGTTAATGAACTTTGTCGATCATTATATAATTGACGATTTTGTCGTCGATTAATATCAGGTATTTTACCACATGGTAATGATTTATTTTTACATGATCTGACAGCAGTTGGTGATGTTATTGTAGGAGGATTTGATGGTATTTGATGTTGTTTATTACTTTCATTGGATGCTTGATAACCTGGCCATAATAATGATGGTTGATTAATATTTGTTGATAAAACAGATGAACGAGGTGGAAGACGTTTAGGAATACGATCAAGACGTAAATCTTTACTACGATCAACTAATCTTTCAGGAGTTAAAACAGAAATATCTGTTCTAGAATTTGTAACACCACCATTATAACCAAAATTTAATCGACGAATATCAGTATAATCATGATCATTAGGTAATGGTGTAAGACGAGTTTTACGTGCTTGAATTGCTCTTATTTTATTGCTAACAGCTATTGGAGAAGCATTAAAAACCATTGATGAATAATTCTTAGTTGGAAAAACAACTGGTTGTGATGAAACGTTCATAGAAGATCTATAAGAAAGATCTATTATATTTTTCTTGATAGGAATTATAGAAAAAAAAAAAAAAAACAAAAGATGAATTACAAAACTGTCAAGTAAACCACTTTTTTTTTGTTTCTCCTTTTTATATATTTTGCGAAAAGAAAAGAAAAAAAATCGAGGACAAAGATATCATGATTATCTCGAACAGATAAATAAATACATTTAATTAATTTAGGAACTATTACCTTTTATCTTCTTGAAAAAAATTACGGCTAGACTATTCTTGATGATATAGTAATAAACTATAACGACAATAACAAATTTTATTGTCAGAAAATACTAAGGATTATGTCTGTAAGAAACTCAAAAACACAAATTATTATACTTCTATGAATTTTTTTTTTTTGATAGACAGAAGTGAGCTATATAAAGTACGAACTTGTTTTTTTTCATATGACTCAAATGAAAAAAATTCATCGAAAAAGAGGATTCTAACGACACTTCTTTTGTTTTTTTTTCCCCATGTTTAACATCATTGTAATAAAGATAAATAACAAAAATAAACCATGTTACAGGTAATATTGATCAGCTGTTCTCATAGTAACTATTATAATTGTCCAACAAAGATTAAAAACAAAGTTGTAAAAGTATGTAGACAACTATTATATCAACATGAGAAAGTAAAAAGAAAATATAAAGTAATTTCTATTTTGGATTTCTTCATTTTTTTTTTGTCTTCTCTTTTTTCTCAATTAATTTTTCTTTTGTATTACTAGTCATGTCTACATTATTACAGTTCTCTTCATATGCATCTATACATATATATAATTGTAAAGTAGAATATGAAACAGCAAAAAAAATCATCATGTCACTTACGCATATAGATAACCAACAAAAAGTATTAAACAAGAATCGATTGCCTAGTAAGTAAAAACAAATGAATAATAAAAACTTGATTTTAACCTTGAAATAATATTTCAAAAAAAAAAAAAAAAACTCATTTTTCTTTAACTATTCTGTCAAGTATTTTGCTCTTGAAAATAGTAGATGTAAAATCATCATATTCTTATGTTATTATTTACACGGATACCAATTATTGTTGTTTTTGCTTCTACTCGACTATATATGTCTAATAGACAATAGAGAAGTAACGAAAATGTTCTATTTCAGTAATATATTAAAATTATCTTTTGATCATAAAAGTTCAATGCTAATATACATAAGAATTCGAGTATCAACTCAAGTTACTCTATCGTTTGTCTTTTTATTCTTATCGAATATTTCAAAAAGAATGTAAATAGATGACTCGTTGAAATAACCTTGCTGTTCAGTGGCCTCTTTTCTTTCTTTCTTTCATTTTTACCACTTTTTCTATATGAATTTTGCTATTTCGACTTTTATTTGTTTTTTCTTAAAGAATAAAGTAATCAAAGACATAATGTAAATTACGTCTGGTATTCTATCATTAATCTAAATCATTAAATTAATAAAAACAAAGGTAACAGATCGAATCGATATTTATACATTTTGTTTTTTATAATTCAATAATAAATTATATAAATCGTCACTATTGATACAAAACTATATAGATAAAAATTTTCTACATAAGATTATAATGTAAATAAAAATTTTCTAAGAATTTTAACAATCAAACTTTTAAAAACTAATGATAAATAATTCTAGAGAATGACTTGTCATACAAACTTGAATAATGAATATTTGAGACTTGCTTCAAATAGAATCAAACATTAAATAATAGTGAAAGAAAGAGAGAGAGCGAACAAGTAAATGTAAAAGAAAAAAAGAGATTACAAATTTCAATCGGCACCGACAGAGTAAAAGAAAATGTAACTCTCTTTCCTTCTTCGTCTTGTTCATCCACATCAACATATAAATAAAATGAAAACAATATTATTGTGTTTTTTTTTTTATATATGCATAAATACATGTTTTTCAGCGAATCTTTATTCAAACGATAATTCAAAGATTTTGTTTTTTTCTAATATTTTAATAACTCTTATAGATCCGAGAATAAAACTTAAATGAATATTATTTGATATATACTTAAAGATAAGTATTATATATATATGGGATTTTACATTTTACTTTAACCATTATTAGAGATAATAAAAAGAATTTGAATACATAGAAAAAAAAAGGAATTCCTATCGATAAAAATTTTTTTTTTTTTTTTTTTATGTCAATATGTCTCCTTGAATGTCATATTAAACTGTTTTTTTTGAATTACAAACAATTTATTTATTCAATGATTTATTATTAAAAAAAAAAAATCCTTAATGTTACAATCAATATTTTTCGGAATGTAAACGATTAAGAATAATTTTATAATTGACATAATGTAGATAAGAATTCAAAATAGTTATTTGATAGGTGGGCTTTTTACCGGATTAGTATTTAAGTATTTCTTTTATCGATGTGATTAATAGGAATATTTTTATTTTTCGATACTTAAACATATTTCAAAAAAAAACCCGGTCTAATAGCAAAGCTTTCTGATAGATTTTTTTTTATCACGTTTATTACTAAAACAATGTTCAATTCATGAATTATTCTCGTTAAATAACTTTTTTTACGGTCAACAAGAAAAATTATTCATGTCAAATTTTTGATGTTAATGCATTTGTATTTTTTTTTATTTTATATATGATTGAATAGTAAGTTAACTGAGAATATATGGTTTTTCAGTTTTTTTTTTTTATTGTAATTAGCTTTTACAAACAATTTTTCAGTCTCTTTAGGTGGCCTACTTTTTTCTGGAAAAAAAACTTAGGTCAACTTTCGATAACCTATACGTTTCTAACCTTTCTTTTACTTCCTTCGAGTTTTAAAATTGTCTATTTTTAATTCAGAATGAAAACTTGAGTCTAAAAGACGTATCTCGATTTACCTTAGAGTCAGCTTCACACGCGAAAGTTATGACAAACAATTGTAAAAGTCGAACGAACTGAAAGAAAATTTTAAAATTTATAGGTCATCGAAAGATGACTTGTTTTTTTTTCTATTAAACAAAAGTAGGCCATCGGAAAAAAATGAAATATAATACTTAAAAGCTCATTAAAAATAACTGAAACCTATATATTCTTCATTAGCTCATTACGTTCTTTTTAATCAAATATATATATATGTACAAAAGAAAATCAAAGTCTACTGCAATTTTGTATTTTCAGCATCTTATCTAAAGCCATTATTTAACTATGAATTATGCAGACAATTTATACTAATAGACTATACTTACTACGATAATTTTGATGAAAACCGCGACTTAAATGTACGAGCTTCAACAGAGATATAACTGCTGCATTATTTTCTTCAAGTATAATAACTATTTTGACTGCTACAGTATATTTTTGACAATGTAAAACCTTGTAATAAGTACATTTGGCTATAGATAAAATTAATAATTTGTTATTTATCAAATTCAATTTTTGCGAATATTAAAAAGAATCGACCTGATTGTATTCGAAATGTGACAAAAAAAAAATAACTATTGCCCTTAATTTACACATTGAATAATGTATACAAAATATTTTCTATGATTGTATTTTTTGTAATATTTATGTAATGGAAACTAGACATTAATATATACGATATAGTTTGATATGTGATTTTAAAAAAAAAATTAGAGATATTATTTTTTTGTGTGTCATATTGTCCGGAAAAAAAAGAATATTCGAGTTTGATTTGCAGAACACTTGTCTTCTTTACTACTTACAATAATTTTTTTCCAACATAATGTAACTTGGTAAGGTTTGTCATATACTTTATCTTTACTTTTCTTATCATTTATTTTGAGCAAACAAAACAGCAACAACAACAAAAAAAACAAGAAACTTATCATCTTGACGTATCAATTCGAAGAATTTTAAAGGAATACGTAGATTTTTATATTACACATAACATATTCTTGCTTAATATCATTTATATAGTTATAATTAAAACTATTAAATACAAATGAAAAATTTTCATGTTACTGTTCGATTGATGATTTTCAATAGTAAAGTTTCTTTTTTTTTTTGCAAACTAAATGAAAACTTGTAATTTATTTAACATCAAATGATGGAAAAGTGAACAAAAAGAAATAATTTTTCTTTTTTTAAGATTAGCTAAACGCTCAATCGTTCACTTCTTTTGATATACAGACATTGCGCTTGATATTGATAATAAAGAATTTTGATCTGAACCTACAGCTTCCTCTTTGAAAGGAAGCATGAATTGAACAATGCTTGTTTGTTTTTTTGTTTACAGACCAAGACTTATCTTTTATTCATGATGATTTACTTTAAAAATAATTATTTCTTCTCGTTAGAAAAATTCTGACGAATATGCCTATATGTAAATCATAATATAGATCAATTGCTATAATCTATTGTTTATTTGTATTCTAACACATATTTTTTAGAAAAAATTTCGAAAAATTCTCATAAATAATGGACCCCAAAATGGTGGAATACGTGATATTTGTTTAAATGTATTAGATGTAACAAGTGTTCCATATTGAAATAGTTGAATACGTTCACGATGAAATTTCGCACGTAATTCTTCATTATTTGTTAGAATAACTAATTGAGCTTCAAGATCACGTTGAATTGAACGTGCACCTAGAAAATAATAAAAATCAAATTAATTGACAAAAACAAACAGGACCTGCGAAAGTGGTGGGGGTGTACACCCCCCCCCCCCCAATAATTGAAAATTATTTATTATTAGCCACCAAAATGGATAATATTTGTTTGAATCTATAAACTGTCTCACAGAGATATTTTCAGAAACATCTTTCAGAGGTGTCCTGAGTGGAAATGAGAGTTAGGGAATGATCTTTCTATAATAATAATCGGCAACTATCGTTGAGATATCGGCGGAAAACATGAAGTTCTATGGCAAGTTGAAGAAATCAGCTGATTTTTTACTCGAAATTTCGGTTTAAACGATGGTTTTTGCTACAAAATTCTGAAATATTAAAATTTTTCGCTTTATAAAGAAGTAGCCGCATGGGCATACTCACCTTGAAAATAACTCTGATCTTCCTGTTTTTATGGCATACTTTACCGCTTCCTACCTTCTGAACAGATTTATTTGCGAGCAGTCGTCGCTAGCGTGGTCACCTTGGGCGGTGAAATTGCTAAGAGTTATAGCAATACTTTTTGATTTCGAGAACAATAAGGAAAAGAAGAGTTTTTCATGAGTCTGACGTGAAAAAAATAACAGTTGCGTAATCGCGGTTAACTTAGAAAAACTTCTAAATTTAGTCCATTTTTCCTTCGAAACAGCCTAGTCGAGAACAATCGTCGCCAGAGTGGCCGCCTTTGGCGGCAGAAGTATTGAGGAATTTTCTCACATCAAACGCTGGTTGTCTTCTTGAAAATTTGCCAGAGAAAGTCGAGAAGGTTGCGAAAAATTGTTGCATTTCAGGTTGCACGAGAAAGATGAATATTAGGTCTGATGCGGAAAAAAATTTTGCTGTCTCCAAATTTGACTACCTCAGGAGTCTTACAGCCCCAAACCTAGGACCCTCGCGCGGGTCCTGAAAACAAAAGAACAAAAACAAATATACCAAAATTTGGTGATCCAACACAAGTTAATATGGGATAATTATCTTGATTTTCTTCATATAACCATAAACCTTTTGCATGATAAGTCCATTGTGAACGATAATATTCTAACATTTGTATTTGTCCATCATTAAAATATTTTTTTTCTGCTCTTTCAATAAATTCACGTTCATTTTCAGTATAACCAGCTGGTACATAACGACTTATACCACGACTACCATAAAAACCATTAGCTTGTGGTGATGCTGTTAATAAACTAATTGTTGTATCTTGACGTTTATTATCAATTAATTCTTTTTCATATTCTTTTGTCATATTAAAATAAGATGTAGCAAAATATAATTTAGATTTATATGGTAAATGTGAATAAAGATATATATTAAAATCTCGATCATAATTTATATTAAATATTCCCATTTGTATTAATGGTACAACAAGTACTTGATCATTTAATAATAATTTAGGTTTTGAATAATTTATTTGATATGTTTTTATTAATGATAAAATATTTTTTTCAACTTCAAGACGATATTGTTTATTATTACCTTTATATGGATGATATTTACCCATAAAAATAGGTTGATCATGATTTTTTTCAATTTTAAATGATTGTTTTGCTATTGTTTCAATAATATCAATGAAAAATTTGCATAAATTTGAACAATTATTTAATTTTAAATATCGATCTTGTCGATTATCAAAATAAGTTTTATTTAAATTAGCACTACGAAAAGAAAAAAAAAGAAGCTCACATTAATCTTCTAATTAATAAAAGATTTGATTTCAAAAAATAATAAAAAAAAAAATATATGATTTTTACCCACTTATAATTAAATTATTATCTCCAATATAAATTTTCATATGTTGTACACCCCATGATTCATTAATTCGTGTTGGTAATATTTGTCGTAGAAAACCATAAAGAAGTGGTGTATGAAAAAGATAAAAATCAACTTGTGATGAATATTGTTCAATTAAAGGTAGAAACATTGTTTTTGAAGTTGTTTTTTCTTTATGATTATCAATACGAAGACCACGTAAATGATCGAGTAATACAACTAGACGTAGAGATGGATTTTTATCAAGTGCTGTTCGTATTGAATCAATCTAATCAAAGAATGAAGAATCATTTTCGATTCTTTTTTTTTGTTTTTTGACAAATTATATCTACCAGTTTATATTCATATGGATCAGTACCAAAATACAATGATGATATGTAAATACGATTTTTTGCATTAGCAAAAAGTTTATTTAATTCTTGAAAAAAATCACATGGTTCATAGAGAACATCAAAATTTGATGCTGGTATAATAAATGATGGTCCATAATTTGAAATCCAATCGAAATTCTTTAAACAAGAAGATGCAGAAGAAGAAGTGTTCATCTGCAACCAAAAAAATATATCTTGTTCATTGGTATATAAACACATACAACAACAAGGTTGAACATGCAGATACAGAAAAAAAGACAAATCAATAAAGTACAAACCAAAAGATCTTTAAGAACAAGAGAAAAGAAAAAAAGACCCAATCAAAAGTTTATTTTGTTTCAGCTATTTATTTCATTGGATAAAGTTTTATTTTAAATTGGTTGAATCTTGAAATGTAGACCAATAAGTGAAAAAACAAAACATTTCAAATCTTGAACCAAATAATAAAAACAACGTAAACCATCTGGATCACGACTATTATTTATATCGATTAATGAACCAATTTTTGATGTTGTAAATGATATATGTTCATCACCAAGAACAATTTCCAATTCTTGTCGACCAGTACGATCTTGTGGTGGCCTAGAAATATATCATAAAAGTCGATTTTTATTTAACATCAAATATTCAACAATAATTAACTTTCTCATCAAAAATAAGTGGGTGTACGCCCATGAGAAGTCTCCATAGATCTTCCTATACTAGTTTTCGAGGCGAATAAACGTTCTGCCTGATGTACATCAATGTTGTAATGTGAAAATCTTCAAGACGATATAATTTTACTTGAAACTCATTTTTGAGAAGCAGAAAAGATTATATACTTATAGACAATTTAATCTGCATTTTTAGATACTCAAAATACACTGAATTTCGGAAAGCCTATGACATTCTATTACATCTTGTGAAATTTTTCTAATGAATAACGTTTTATTCTGGACACGGAACGTACGAAAGCTTATTCTTTAAATCGAAATGAGTTGCACACGAAAAAAAAAATTTTACAAATAATATTCAATATCGAATAGATCGCTATTGATAGCAGAGATGTCCATCACGGTTGAAAACTGACCGCTGCCGCGCCGATAAAAGAAAAGGGCTAACGCGCCGCCACTGCCGCGGCGCGATGGCGGTAGCGCCAGCGGTCGCGCCACTAAAAGGAAAGGGCTAACGCGCCGCCACTGTCACGGCGACAGCGGCGCGGTGGCGGTCGCGCCGCTAAAAGAAAAGGGCTAACGCGCCGCCACTGCCACAGCGACAGCGGCAACGGTCGCGCCGCTATGGACATCTCTGATTGATAGATTGTAAAAAAAACTACTTACCAAACAGCATCATCTTCTTTCATAATATCTGAATCATTAACAATACGTTTAAGTTCTTCAATAACAGCTCGATTAACATAAACTTCCTTTCGAATTAAAGTATCTTTTTTATAATTTGAATTATTTGCATAACGTAATTTTCCATCAGGTCGAAATTCAAATTCAAGAAATTCATGTCCAAATTTTCCTTTATGACCAACATAATATCGTAAATAGAAATCATCATTAACTTCTGTCATAATTTTATTTTATTAGAAATCTAAAAAAAGAAAAGCAAAAAAAAAACAACAATGAAAAATTAACAATGTTATTTTAAACAGAAACATCTGTATCAAAAAGAACAAATTTCCATTGTGAAGTTTTTGAAGTTAATATTGGTGAAACACGATATTGATTTGATATAAGATCAAGATCTTTTTTAAATTTTTCTCGAATTTTTTTATTGATAACCATTACTTGAACATTTTCCTGTTGTTGTTGTTGTTGTTGTTGATCAGGATTTGTTAACCATATTGTTATTAATTGTTTTTCAATTGCATTTATATATTCATTATATTTATTTTGTAATAATTCACCTTTTTGTTCATAATCTAATGAATTTTGATATGTACTTATTTGATAACATATTTTATTTATATGACGAATATCAAAATTTAATTTATCAAATTTTGTTATTAATAACCATAATTCACGTACTAATGCAAGATCTTCATGTTTTGAACCTTCTTTTAATTGTACTAAACGTTCTTGTTGTTGTGCAGCACGTCGTTGAGATTTTTTACTTGATGATATTGAACCAGATTTTTTTGTTAAACGTGTTCGTATTGAACCACTATCATCATTATGTCGATTTGTACGTGTAATTAATGTACGTCGTTCATCATTTATTTGTTGATCATCATTATCCGATTGATCATCATTTTCATCAATATCATAATCTCGTCCAGAATCAAGTATTTCTTTTATATATTGAAAAAGATTTATTCGTAATATTGAAAGACGTTTTGTATATGATTGAAATTTTTCATAATCATTATGAATTTGTCGTTGTATATCATCATAAAAATTATTAAATGTTGAAAGAAATTCATGTTGATATAAATCATGACGATCATTTAATGATGTAGCAAATAGACGAATAATATGAGACCATTCATGTCCTTGTAAATAAGAAATAAGAGCTTCTTCATTATCATCAAGATAATTTTCATAGATTTGACCTGATTCAATATATAATGAATCATGACGAAATTGTTCAGCTAATGAACGATATTCGTCCATATTGATATTAGCCTAGAAATAATTAATAATTGAAAGTCTTTATGTAAAATGTTTATAATTTATTGATAAAAATTACTAAAAACAAACTTGAACAAGGCCGATTGCCGAAACGATTTTTTATCAATATTAAAGAAAAATTGATTTTTTCATAAATTTCGTTGTTTTACGATTTTGTGTAATACTTTTAACTTTTTAAAAGGAAGGTCATAGAAAATACTACAATCCGGCCATTTGTTCAAAATTTAGGCTAGTGTCTGACTCGGGTCGAGTCACTAGCCGTTGACTGATTTCAAAGTTTTTTATAAGACAAACAGCAATTTCAGATGAAATAATAGTTTCTTTGTTTCGAATATTGAGAGAGTTTGTAGAGAGACTCTGAAAAGATTTTTAACATGTGAAAAAAAACTCATTTTTCTTGACAAAAAAATATCTTCAATCTCAGGTCGGGCGAATGTTACTCGGGTCGGGTCACGAAAAATTGACCCATGTCGAACATTGGTTTAGGTATTGTTAAAAAAATAGCTTCTGAAATCTGACCATGTCGGATTTCTTTTATAGACCTTCCTATCATTATTCATCTATGAAATCTTATTCCATTGGATATTAAAATCATTATGTAGGCTTCAACTAGGTGTTTAACATTATAATCTAAAATACATTGTTGTTAACCTTTTTTCCATTGTCTTACCTGAAAAAAGCTTCAAAAATTTAGTAAAACGATCCTATAGCTCGGCAGTAAAGATCCATAAGGACCAACCCCCCATTAAAACTTTTTCTACTCTTACGAAGAGGGTGAACTCTCTATTTCATCTACATCTAATCCTAAAGGAAATGAAAATCATAATAATTTGAAAAGTCGTAAATCTAATTATTTTTGAAATATAATTCAAAAATCTTACTTGTTTTATTTGTTTTGAAATATTTGGTAATAATTTTAATGAATTTTGTACATCTTTTCCTTGTCTATAAGCTTTACTTGCTTGTTCATAAAATTTTCCTCGTTCATAAATAAGTGCAGCTTCAATATAATATTTTTTAATAATTAAATAATCTCCATATAATTTAATAATATGATTAATATATTCCATAGTTGATTGTATTTGTTGATTTGATAGAAATTTTTTTATAGCAAATTTATATAAACGATTATTTTCTAATATATTAATAAATTCTTGAAATTTTTCATTATTATCATTATTTTGTTTATTTAATAATTGTTCAATAAAATAATCACATGCATTATCAATAGCTTTTTTATAACGTTTTAAACGACAATCAATTTTAAATTTTTGCCAATTATAATTATTTATTAAACGTAATTGATTTAATTCAGGTAAATATTCTTTTGGATCTTTTTGTGTTTTTTCACTTATCATTAAAACAAGATCAAAATTATATGTACCTAATGCTATATCATATAAACGATCAATATCAATAAAATATGTTAAATAACGTATAGCATTATCAAAATATTTTGGATGTTGATTTAAATAAATTAATGCACCTTCTATATTTATTGGTGATTGTTTTATATATGTTGTTAATATTGAATTAATATGTTCAATTGAATTTTTTGTTAATAATAAACATGAACGAAATTTTTCACATAATATATTTGCTTTTGGATACCATTGTTGATTATCTAATGAAGGATTTTTTTCTTGTTTTAATATATATTTCATATATTCATCACGTGTATTTTTTTCATTATCAATTTCACTTAAAAATAAACATATATCATCATCATTATGTAATTTAGATATAAATATTGAAATATAATCATAAAATTGTTTTGGTTTATAATCATAAAGAAAATTAAGATTAAGACGATTTTTACGCATTAATTCAAATGCATGTTGATAATTTATTGTTTCACCATCGATTAATTCTGAACAAATATATGTTAATAATAATGGTCGTGGATAAATTGTTTCAAGATTACCACGTGGCATTTGTAAAATAAGTTTTAAATCTGTATAAGCAGTACAAACAATACGAGTACCACGTTCTTTAAAAAAACAAAAAAAAAGAATAAATAAATGAAATATCAAGAAAATTCGAATAGAATTAAGCTACAATTAGAAGGTTATGTTGACGCATTGCTTTTTGAGTTCGGACTTTGTGCATAAGATAGATCCTAGTGAGTTATGAAAAACTTCAAGAGATTAAATCCCCTTAGGCCTCTTCTGTCCAGAGTTATAGGCCTTTTACTGAAATTTTAGCCTAGGACATGCTATATACGAACAAATTGAATCACGGCGTTTCGGTCCGAGATTTTGCCCACAGACAGATCTATTGATCAATAGAATTCCCTGAAAATTTCAGTTCAAAAGAACATTTCCTTTCCGAGATATTAAAGTCCCAAAAATGACTCATATAGGATAACAAATTCCTTGTTTTTGAGACTTTAATATCTCGGAAAGGAAATGTTCTTTTGAACTGAAATTTTCAGAGCATTCTAATCATCAATAGCTCTGTCTGTGGGCAAAATCTCGGACCGAAACGCCGTCATTCAATTTGTTCGTATATAGCATGCCCTAGGCTAAAATTTCAGTAAAATGCCTATAACTCTGG